CCTGGGACCTTCTGTGTGCCAAGCAGAGGCTCTGCCACTGAGCCACAGTCCCTCTTTACAGCTCTCCAGGGTCTCAGGCAGAGGTCTTTCCCATCACCTGCTGCCTGGTTCTTTTCACTGGAGATGCCGGGGACTGAACCTGGGACCTTCTGCGTGCCAAGCAGAGGCTCTTCCACTGAGCCACAGTCCCTCTTTACAGCTCTCCAGGGTCTCAGGCTGAGGTCTTTCCCATCACCTCCTGCCTGGTCCTTTTAACTGGAGATGCCGGGGATTGAACCTGGGACCTTCTGCGTGCCAAGCAGAGGCTCTGCCACTGAGCCACAGTCCCTCTTTACAGCTCTCCAGGGTCTCAGGCAGAGGTCTTTCCCATCACCTCCTGCCTGGTCCTTTTAACTGGAGATGCCAGGGATTGAACCTGGGACCTTCTGTGTGCCAAGCAGAGGCTCTTCCACTGAGCTAGGGCCCCTCCCACAGGTTGACTGTGGGGCTCCAACTGGAAGCCCGGCTTCCAATCTCTACCCTGGCCTCCGTTTTGTTTTCCTTCCACCCATCCACGGAATGGAAACATTTAAGGGCCTACCTCGAAGGGTCATTCTGAGAAACCGGCAGGATACCAGCTTGTGAGAGAGTTTGACAACACAACATGGGCTCACGGCCAGTATTGTGGCTCATATATTCCCATGTGCGTAAACAGGCCGCCCACCACCAGCAAACCGTGGGGGAATTCCTCGTTCTGTCTCTCTCTCTCGTCTCTCCTGTACCACCACCTCGCCCATCCTGTTCTTTCTCTCCATCTGTCTCTCTTCCCTTCCACGCGCTGTTTGTGGCGAGGTGTTGCTACCGCAAGCTAAGTCCAACCCAAGATTTCCTTGATGATGAACCACAGGGACGGCTAGGCCAATAATGGGAAGGGCCGTGGCTCAGTGGTAGAGCCTCGGCTTCTCATGCAGAAGGTCCCAGGTTCAATCCCCGGCATCTCCAGCTGAAAGGCTCTTGTTGGAGGTCATATGAAAGACCTCGGCCTGGGACCAGGAGAGCCGCTGCCAGTCTGAGTAGACAATCCTGACTTTGACGGACCAAGGGTCCGATCCAGTAAGAAGGCAGCTTTTGGCAGGGGTCATTTCGCAGAAGAAGAGATGCAGGAGCTCATTAGCATAACTCATTAGCATAACTTATTTGCATATGCAACACCCCCCTGACATCACCAGAAGTGTGGCAGAAGGCAACACCCACCGCTCAGACTCCACTGGACTGTTTTGGATTGCTAGCTATTGGGGGGGGGGGGAATGCGAAGATCTGTCCTCACAGAGGAGGGAGAGCTTGTACCTGAATAAAACTTGGTCTTAAAGGTGCCACTGGACTGTTTTGGACCAGGGGGCCAGGGGGGGGGTCTCCTCCATTTACCGGGCTGGACTGTTTTGGACCAGGGGGCCAGGGGGGGGGGCTCTGCAACTTACCTGGCTGCTTCTTGCTCTGACTGAGGGCTGCTGGGAGCAGGGGGCGGGGCTTGTTGCATGGGCCCGCCCCCTGGGCTCTTTACTGCCGGAGCTCCGCTCCTGTGCGCTCCCGCAGGAAATGAGCCCTGGCTTTTGGTACATATTCCATGACCCCTCACAAGAACGCCTCCTTTTTCCCCCCAGATGTATTTCAACTCCATCATCTCGGACAGCACCAAGCTCCTCAAACCGATCCTGGTGTTCACCTTCGCCATCGCGGCCGGCGTCTGTGGCTTGACGCAGATCACGCAGTACCGCAGCCACCCCATTGATGTCTACGTGGGGTTCCTGATAGGTTCTGGCATTGCGGCCTACCTGGTAAGTTCGTGCACCTTCAAGGCCCCGTCGGCCGGATGGCGTGCGTTGTGTTGGTGCTGTTACAGAGTTGCCTTGACAAGTCAGAGAAAAGAGCAAGAGTCCAGGAGCACCTTGAAGACTAGCAGACGTTGTGGCAGGGGATGAGCTTTCGTGAGTCGCAGCTCACTTCTTCAGATACTTCTTCGTGTATCTGAAGAAGTAAGAGGAGTGCCTCACAAAAGCTCGTCCCCTCTCACACCCTTTGGCCCTGGTCACACGGGCCAGATAACGCGGCGGGGGGGGGGAGGCGTGGCTGTTCGCCCCGGAGCAAAATAAAGCGCGGTAGCCCGATCACACGGTCCCCCGAGTCTTCGCGCTTAGTCTGTTAGCTGGCGATCACAAGGCGATGCTAGAGCGTGGCAAAGAAGCGTTTCGCATTTGTGCACACACACAGTTCTGCTTTCGGTTACATGTTTGTGCACATGTGCTTAGGGGAAACATCCGGTTTGCGACGGGACGTGGACGGGCGCCAGATGCCACGGGATACTAGCGCTCCCGTGATCAGACGCCCGCCCCTGTCCCACGTTTCCCGGATACTAGTGCACTTTCCGAGGTACTTTTTTACTGCGCGTCTTCGGCAGGATGCCACGGGTTGGCCACGGGTGCGCTACGCTTCCCAGATGTTGCTAAGGGGGTGATGGAGGCATAAAGAAAGAAGAGTCCAGGACCTATTTAAAGCAGCCTTTTCCTGCCTTCTCCTGGTCTTCCCTGGGATCAGGGAGGGAGGTGGGTCCCCACAGCCAATCACAGCCTTTGTTACCTTAATTTTCTGTGTGTATGAAAATGTTACTGTGGTTGATTGTGTAAACTAATTTTATGATTTTGAGCTTCAAAGTGTCGTATTAACAACATCTTTCTCTACTATGTGCAAATTTGTCACTGCATCTTTCTGTCCACTTCTTGAAGGTAGATTTCCAGGGGGGCGCTGAGTAATTTTTTTTCCTGAAAAGGGGGCAGTAGACCAAATAAGTTTGGGAACCTCTGATCTATCCAGTAATTTAAGTATTGTCTTTTCACGTGCTTTTCACTTTGGAGGAAGTCTCGAGCTCATTAAGAGAGACTTTTTGCAGCGTTCAGTGGTGAAATTTGGATGGATATCTTGGTATTTGGCAACCTTGTGTTTGGAAATATCTGTTGAACTCCCTGAGGAAGACCCTGAAACAGGAGGATATCTGGACCATTGTTGGAGGAAGAATGAACACGAATTCAAAATAGACTTAAAGGAGCCCTCCTTCTAAAAAACTTTTGTATAATTAAGGAAGAATGGTATTAATAAAGGGGTTGTGCAATATTCTTTTGTTATAAAAAGACAATACTTAAATTATTGGATATATGGTTCTTTCTATGTGATAATGTTTATGTGAATGGTGAATGATTTGTAAGAAATATAGAATTAAAAATATATATATACTAAAATGAACAAATATATAAAAATTATTTGAGATACTTTGTAATCATCTGTAGCACGGTATTTGCAAACTTTGAAATGCAGGCAGAGTGGGGCTCAGGATGGGCGTGCATTCGTGACACGAACATTCCCCGCTCATAGAAAACCAGCGTGTGTGGGAAATGGTAGGCTAGAAAAAAAAAAACCCATCCTTCCCATGCTCATGAAGACTCACCGTCCGCGAGTCTCTGACGTGGAGGGACATTTGGCCGTGTAGTCTCCGCAGGTGCCTTGTTTGCCAGTAGAATCGCTGAGGTCTGTGCCAGATTTTACCCTCCGTCATGAGAAGAAGTGAACAGATGGGAAGGAGCGTGCTTTTGTTCTTGCCTGCAGGATTCTCAGATTCTGTTAGCCCCTAATGCTCACCTTTTCTTGCCACACGTAGGCGTATCATGCGGTGGGCAACTTCCGAGCACCGACGGAGAAGGCCCCTTCCAACCCCCCAGCCAAGGATGCCCTGAGAGCCCTCACCCAGCGCGGCCACGACTCCGTCTACCATCAGAACAAGTCCGTCAGCACAGATGAGCTCAACCCCCAGACCCGGTTGGAGGGGATGAACCGGCAGGTGCAGAGGGAGAAGAACTCGTTGGGCAGCCTGAAGAGGGCTAGCGTGGATGTGGACCTCCTGGCCCCACGTAGCCCCATGGGCAAGGAGAACATGGTCACCTTCAGCAACACCTTGCCACGGGTCAACACCCCCTCCATGGATGACCCTGCCCGTCGCCACATGACCATCCACGTGCCCGTAGACGCCTCCCGTTCCAAACAGCTGATCACCGAGTGGAAGCAGAAATCGGTCGAAGGACGCAGCATGACGCTGGCCGAGGAAGCGGCCAGGCGAGCCGGCGCCGATTCCATGGTTGGTGAAGAGGAGGACCATATCCCGCCCTCCTTGTACCCCACGGTCCAAGCCCGGACTGCCGAACGAGCCTCCATGGGCCCGCGAGTTCTCATCCAGCCGAGGCCCGGGGCTTCCCAGCTGGTACACATCCCCGAGGAGAGCCAAGCCAATGCCGGGGCCAACATTTCTCCCAAAAGCAGCTCCGCTGTGAGGGCCAAATGGATGATGATGGCAGAAAAGGGGTCAGGGCAGCGAGTGGCCAACCCACCGCGCCTCATGCAGGTCATCGCCATGTCAAAGCAGCAGGGGATGGTGTCGGTGACCCCGAAGCATTCAGAGACCTCCTCCTCTTCCACCAGCTCGGATTCATCCCAATACCGGTCTCCATCAGAAAGAGACAGCTCCAGCGTCGTCACCATTGACGCCCACGCCCCACACCACCCCGTGGTTCACTTATCATCCGGGAATGGGCCTTGGGAATGGAAGGCTACCCAGAAAGCTCCCGATATCCAAGATACTTACGAGCTCAACGAGATGAGCAAAGATTATCGTGGCTTCCGGCCCGCCAAGAGTGCCGGCGTCTCCCCCGGTTCTTCCATCAGCGACATAGAACAGGACGAACCACGCTACGGGAGCGTGGCCACCATCAACATCACCTCAGGAGTGGGGGGAAGTGCTCCGATCATGTCGGCGGAGGCCAGCTCTGCCGAGAACGTGATGGGTGTCGCCAGCCGGGAGTCGACCCTGCGGAGGAAGCCGACCACTTTGACGGTGGGAGAGAAGGAGGGGCAAGCCGAGGAGACCGAAAATTACTACAAGAAGATTCAAGCCAACCGAAGGTTTAAGGAGTAATTCTTTCTACCAAGCCTTCATCTTTTCCGTCCGGGACTTTTTTCCAAAAACGTGAATTTATTTAGGACGGTGGGAATCTTTGAGGCAAGATGTCAGTTTTCTAGGGAACATGATCTGCACAGTTTGAACTGATGCCAGTGCCAGTGAAATAATGGAATCTTCAGGACCAACCAACATGGGAGCGTCTTCTAGAAAGTGTTTCAACCCAAGAAACTGGGCCTTCTCATCCAGGTTATCTTTCCTTAACGTCCTGTGATTTGAAAACAAACAAAGACTTCTCAAAGGAAATTTAGCTGGATTTTCCAGTAGATTTTTTTTAAAAAAAGGTGCTCAAGGCATTCAGGACAAGCAGTAATTTATTCCAAATCAGGGACTGCGAGAACCAGCAATGGAGGAAGGCAAAGGGTGGGAATTAAACAACGCAGGATTAATTGAGGGTTTCCCCCAATTACACTCCTGACTTTCATTTGCAGGATGATGAAGTGTGCCAAGAGCCTGTTATTGTGAGGTTAGAAATATGTGTCATATGGAAAAGAAAGTGTCATTTGCCTCAGAGGGTTATCTCCTCTACTGTAAGAGGTGTCTTCCTGTGGATTACATTGAGGGTGGGGAGGGAATTTGTAAATATCTGTGTCCCGGACAGAGGAGAGCGAGGGTCCCCTGACAGAAAGGCGAGAAGGCCTTTTTATTGAGGATTGAGGTTGATGGTATGTTTGACCTTGCCATTCCTTAGAAGTGCAGGACTCTAAAACACAGACCATTGTGTCGCTGGCTCAGGCCCAAGTAGGTCCGTCTGAGCCCGGCATCCTGTTTCCACCAGTGGGCCACCAGATGATTCTGCGAAAGTCCCCAAGGACTGCAAAGAAGAACCTTCCCCAGTGGTTTGAATACGCCACGAGGAATTCAGCATTGTTCAACCTGCTGAGCGGGACAGTGTTTCCTCAGACGAATGCTGAGAGCAGCTCCGTTTGTGGCCTTGTCGGAGACGCTCATTCTTTGCCCTTCCTTTCCTGGATTTAACTTCCTTGGGGATTTGGGGCCGGGATATGTCTGGATTTTCAGGTTCCTGCAGAGAACCGGGAGTACTTGCAGGCCTGACTGAGTATTCCTCCTCTGACTGGAGAGCGTCAGAGCTTCGGTCTCCTCGTGATGGTTGTCATTGGTCCGAGGGGTGAAGCGGAAAGCGATGGCAGACTTTCTCAGCCTCTGTCTCTCATGTAGCCCCTGCTGGAAGCCTGGGAATGCAACGAGGGGGGATGCTTTATGGGTGGGGTAAGGTTGCCAACTCCGGGTTGGGAAATTCCTGGAGATTTAGGGGGTGGAGTCTAGGGAGGGGTAGGGCTCGGGGAGGGGACCTCAACAGTGTATAATGCCACCTTCCAAAGTAGCCATTTTCTCCAGGGGAACTGATCTCTATGGTCTGGAGGCTGGCAACCCTAGGGTGGGGTAAGTGTTAAGGCATGAATAAGGAGTTTGGGGGCAACGGGAAGGAATGTATAGCCTTATGGGATGATATAGGGACTGAGTGGGGTATCTGCTGTGAGAAGGGTTCAAATAATGGGTGAGGAGGGAGAATTCACCTAGAAGGGTCCCTCAGGAATCCAGAACACACACTCACAGAGAGGTGGATTTCTTCAAGCCTAGAGTTATCTGAATGTTAACATGACAGTGCCATTTGTGCTCTTTCTGGAGTGCCTCGCCAAATGCATGAGGAAGAGGGGGGTCCAGTTATACGGCTCTGTTTAGAAAAATGGATCCGTTTAATTAACCGTTGGCGGGAGGCTATTTTGTCCCTCATTCAGACATGAGAGTAACCGAGGTGTTTTTTTTAATGTCATGGGAGGATAGGAAGATGACTATGGTTAACTTATTCAGGGGAGTGTAATTTCTTTTTTTTTTTTTTAAATGGCCGCCACTCCTCACGATTGCTAGAAACGTCGTCTACGCGCACCAGGACGACCAGGCAGCCTGTTGCTTTCTTTCAGGTTGAGCTCGAGGATTCAGGCTGCCTTTCAAACAAGAGTAAGAGACCCAAATTAGGGTGGCGAAGACACACACAAAAAAGGCAGACCAAAGGAAGGGAGGTGCCTTCCAAAATGGCGGCTCACTGAGGTAAAATGAAGAAGACCCCAATGGCTTTCTGGGTCTTCATAAGCGACAGTGGCTGGGTGCCCAACTCCACTGTGGGGAATCAATTGTTATGTGGGATTGTTGGCATGAATTAAAGAGGGTTGGGGTTGTTTATCTAGATGGAAGGGATATATAACTTCGTGGCAGTTTTAGGGGAGTCCCCCCCCTGCAGAGGCATGAGAGAGGTGATTTATGTAGATGGGATAGTGGAGGGGAAAGCATGGAATAGGGGGAGAAGGGTGTAGATGGCGGACATGAATGGAATTTATGGGGAGTCTGCACAGGTTGCCAACTCGAGGTTGGGAAATTCCTAGAGACTTTGGGGTAAAACCTGAGAAGGGATGGGTTTGGGGAAATGGAGGCACCTCAGTCCATCCAACAAAGCAATCACTTCCTCCATGGGAAGTGATCACTGTTACCTGGAAATCCGATGTAATTTTGGGAGCTCTCCAGGCCCCACCTGGAGGAGATTGAGAAGCCTAGGGCGGACCCGCAGAAGGAATAGGGTTCGCCCAACCATTTTGCAATTGGCACTTGTAAACAAGTCATTGAATGCCTTCTGGAGATTTTTGGAATCCGTTAATTAAAGTAAATAATGCTGATTTCTCTCCTAAAGCGTATGGATCTAAGGCGGGTTTAAAGAACGGGCAAGATCTACCGTCAGTTATGACACGAACCCCCTTTATACTGACAGTTCTGTGAGGGTCTGCGTGTCAGGACCTAGTCAGAGTTGATTTTATTGCTTTTGACCAGTCCTCTACACCCAATGTATAAATTTCTCTTCGGGTTCTGTATATTTCAGGCTGCCTTCCTTGAGGACTACTGCACAGTATAGGGCTCCCCGGAAAGTCAAGCACCCATACTTATAACATTCAAAAAGGCACAGTTGTTTTATTGTTGCACAGAAAACACTACAGGGGGTGGGATATATTTACATGGGATGTTCAGATACTTTGTTGAAATATTTATATCCCTTTGCCTTGTCCTAGGCTGTCTGTGGTTCGCTCCCTCAGTGGTTAACTTATTGGCTTTAATTGGTCTGGTCCCCCCTGAGTCTAACTGGTCCCCCAACCAGCCTTCCAGACTCTTCATTCCAGAGCCCTTTGTGCCTTTCCTCAACCCCTAGTTGAGTCCCTATCAAGCAGGGTTTTTGTGGGTTTGTGACCACCCAGGTCTTATGCATCCACTCTTCCAACTCCCTCTTTCCAACTGTCCGCCCCCAACTGTCAGTTAGGTCAGTTTTCTGTCACTCAGGGAGTGCTCCAGGCAAAAGGCCCCCTCCCCTCTAGGTCATGTGACTCAGCCGGGATCTATCTTAACATTCTGCTGGTCCCAGATTTTCAATTCCGTCACATCAGTGAATCCAGGGGCACAGATCTGCGTGGTGCCGAGGGGGGCACGCTTTACTATTTCTGTAAGAGCGGGTAGTTTTTGTCTCAGGGGTCATTACCTCTTCAGCCAATCTTTTCTAAAGGCAGGTCATTCTGCTGTCCCTTGGGAGTTACTGGGTCACTCAGTCGCCCACCAAAAGCAGAGATACGGAATCAGGATCTAATCCCAGCAGAAGCTGACTAAAGAGGCAAGGCCAGCGCAGTGAAGCATACAGAGATGTAACAGGCAACCTCCCTCAATGCATAAATTCTTCCCAGCCTCATAGGTGCCTTACAGTTTATTTCTCGTGGCCTGTTATAGTGCAGAGACACGGCAAAATTATTTGCTGTTAGGTCTCCTACCCTGACTGCATGACTACGACAGGTCATGCTACAATTTGGGAATTACCCAAACCAGAGAGCTAAACAGAAGTTTGTCAGCATTTGGAAACAAAAATATTTAGTTATACACTTTCATGATGTGGATAAATGCACGGGTGTCCAAGGATTGGCACCAGTGCTCCCTCTAAGCTGTGGAGTCTCGTGAGCAAAAAATTCTACTTTGTGAGCTACTGGCCTTAAAGTTGTGAGCAAGCGATTTGACCACTGCATAAATTTGTTTGCTCTGGAGCCATCCTCCCTGAGCCAAGATAAAAATGTGTGAGACGGAGGCTAAAAAGCTGTGAGCTAGCTCACACTAACTCAGCTTAGAGGGAACACTGATTTGGCACCTAGGTAGCCAAAACAAGGTACTGCAAGAAATTGCAAGTAGATAAATAGGTACCACTTCGTTCGGAAGGTAACAGCATTCCGTGCGCCTTGGTGTTTAGTCATGCCAGCCACATGACCACGGAAACGTCTTCGGACAGCGCTGGCTCTTCGGCTTTGAAACGGAGACGAGCACCGCAACCCTAGAGTCGGACTTGACTGGCTTTCGAGCAAGGGAACCTTTACCTTTACCTAGCCAAAACCAGGTCCCCTGTATCTGAGTCTGCTCTAGAGAGCATGACTTCCACAGAGGCATCTCTCATTCTGAAAACCTGGCAAAATGGCGATCCCACCCTGGCCAAGCAGACCACTTATGCACAAGCGGGGCAACTCCTGAATTCAGGTGCAGAGACCCACACGCCTGGTGGCTGCGGCGTCTGTTTGTGGTGTTTCCGTCGGGCAATCCTCAAGCTGAGTTACATCAGCCGGGTGGATAATGAGATGTCACTCTGGGTCACTCCTCTCGCTTTCCTCCCGTTTCCATGGCGGCCAGAGAACCACGGTGCTTTCTCTCACTGATTTACTCATTCAAAAGCGGCTAAGCTTTTAATATCGGCTCGGTTATGCCTCCCTTTTGCAGCCCGGCCGTCGATCTGCAAAGCCAATTAAACGTCCACTCCAAAAGGGGAGAAATCTCTTTTCAAACAGCTGCCGGCGAGAGGGATGTTCGCATACGGCTCGCGTCCCTCTGTGCCCCTCACCCGTGTTCCCTCTAAGCTGAGTTAGCGTGAG